ACAGACATCGCCAGTGTGAATAGATTGATGTGCTTCCCCAGGCCTTGATTTTCGACAGCCATCGAGTTTAATTACACCAAATTGAGTATTAAACATGATTACCAGCGTCACATTTCTCGAATATCATATCCATTTTCGACTATAGTGTCATTTATATTTAGTCCCAGGGTTCTACAATTTTTCTGGGATACCATTGTATTGACTATTTGCTATTGGGCAAGAACAGCATGTCTGACAGCTTTAAAAATTGTGGTCCTCGTCTAGTTGACATCGGACATAAGATCTGATTTGGGAAGTGCGACTCTGCGAAAGTGGGATCCCGAATATGAAATGGAGACTCAACGTGAAAGACAACGTCAGGGTCTGAAGATCCCCGAAATGTTTAGAGAGAGGGCACGAGATCCTGTTTCAATGAAGGAGGAGGAGGAGAGTGGTTACTTTGGAGAGAAAGGGTTTGGTCCCAAAGTAAGAGCAAGAGTGTAGGAAATTTTCATTTTGACTTTTGTCAAAAGGCTAATGAGTGACGAGAATTCATTTAAAAAAGAAAACTCTATTCATACAATTGAAAATTAGTTAATTTGGTGCATGTGGCATACGGCAATGCTGTGTTAGTATGAATTGATATTTCATCCGGTTTGACCATATTGTGGTTGGTGCATAACCTTGTCCACATCAACTTCCCCCTACTCGCCTACTCCCCTCATCTATAAACCCTCGTTTGTGACTTAACTCATAAAGCTCGACATTTTTTTGCACAAACGACTAAAGACTAAGTTCAGTTGTCTCGGTGCGTATATATGCAATACAACATGCAAGTACCACGAGCCTAACTACGAAAAGCGTGTTAAACAATGTACCTTATTCAATTAGTTCGAATCTCGCATGGCATAGAGTTGGGTATGGCGCAACTTAGATCACAGCGGAAAGCCGACGATTTGAACGGATTAGGTTTGCGAGTCGTACTTTGAAAGAAAGGTACTGTAAGCATCTCGAAATTGCCACAAGCTGTTCCTCTCATTAGTTTCGGCGTTGCGCGTACGTGACAACAGATTCACAATAGACTTGTTCTCGACTTTCGGCGTTGTTTCTTCTTAAGAACCAGATCATCGACAAAGCACTATGAGATTAATTAAACATTTGATTTATCCCCTGTCCTCTATATAGAAAGTAATTTGTTCATCACGAAGTAGACATGATGTTGCCCATTGAATTTGACGTCAGTACCTCAGTATGCGCAACAAGTATACTGATGTCAATAATATTAATCTGCTTGCGAAAGCGGCCTCTCTCCCGCGTTTTCGTGGGGTCCTTGTGTGTTGAGGAGAGGAGTATTGTATGGTTTTGGGGGGGGCTTAGTGGGGTGAGACCTTCCCTCCATGAACAGATCTTAATCGATGCACACAGACTTCATTCAGCCTGAAGCTTCATGACCATGATGCCATCCATGACTGTTGATCATGCTTCTAGACATGCAGCGATTTCAAGAGCGATGTGACATTTCATCGCTATCGAAGTGACATTATAGCTGGTAACAAACCTAGGTACTTCCATTTGAGATCATGTATCTTCATTCGTCACATATATCTCGGACCGATGGTTTCCCAAAAGTGTGTGCTTAACATTTTCATGCCCGTTCATCTCAAGTGTTTTGAGAGGAGTGATTGGTTGTTTCGACTCTCAAGGGAAGAAGCAGTCGTTAGTTGATGGATTTTACCGTTAGCACTTGGACGCACGCTTCCTTCCTAGAACCATACTTCCGGAGCGGGATTGCAGTAATAAGACTAACTGTGTATAGCTAATAGACCGATTTGAAATTCCGAAAGCTCCCGACAGTTCAAGTCGCAATAAAATAATACGAAAATGCCCGAACTAGACCCATTTCTTATGCTACATCTTAACTTCTTAAGCCCAAATATCAAACGAAGGGTAGCGAATTTCAATGATTGTCATTATTTTGTTTGGAGACCATCGACCGAAACCCATCATACATGGATATGCCTTAACGGCCCTCGTGCATATGGAATAGGCAACCGGGAAATCCTAAGAAGAAGAGCCTCATGCAATCTAGATCAAAGGACCCTTAATATCAGGGTCGACTTTTGGAGCTCTTCGGAGTAACTGTTTAGTATCTTCGCTTCACGAATGGTGGACGGACGTAGCCGTAGACTCTAAGTATGATTGAAAATCAGAACGCAAGATATGCGAATTGAAGCTTTGTATAGATCTATTGAGCGTAGTGTAGAGGTTAATTCCACTGTAACATTACCGAAAGTTTCATCGTTTCTCTAAAAAATTGACCTTGGGATAAATTCCGGTTGTCGCGGCTGTAGCGCAATTTCGTGAATCAGTTGTCCAGCTTTCCATGGGCCACCTTGAAACTATTAGACTACCGATACTACCGACGGAAGAATTAAAAAGCGAAAATGTACCTAACTTGTTTCCGTGTGGTTTGCACGCGACATTTCACTGATCGTTTGTTAGAAATTAGTACAGTCCTCCGTAGATGGTTCAAAGTGAGCAAGGGACTTTGCCATCCCCCCCATTTGGGGGATAGACTTGAGATGGCATGTCCACTCGCTTGCAGTTGTTTTGCATGTGAAGAAGATCCATCATCGGGCTGTCAGACGTTCAAGTTAGTGCTTTTCTATTTTTTGTCTTCTTTGAGACAGACACCAGGATTACCTCGTGCTAGACCCACCGAATTCGGAGCGATTGCGGTGTATTGATCGCAAACAGAGTCGGAAATATACTTGAGACTGTACTGAAATGATAGTGTTGTTCATTCTCCGCACCAATCCTAGGAAGTAACTACTGGTAACCTGCTTTCAGACTTCAGTGTTAAATTAGCGAAACGACTTTGAAATTGTCTAGTGATTAGTATATCCTTGCGTGGGGGAACCATGAACAAGCATGTTCAACATGGTGAACAGGCCAGCCATCAAGGATCTAATTCTGCACGTTCATGGAGTTACATGTGCTCTGCACTGGATATGCGGGGGCAAAGATGAGCGAGACCTAGGATACTGGGCACCCTCATACCCTAGGAAACGAGTCTGAAGGATTTCGAAATGGTTGAGATGGGAAACTGGCCAAACCATTGGATGAAGTTGCCAATATGCGTGGGGGTTAACAATGCAAAGTAAATTCATTCGAACTGCTGCCCTCGCGAGTACAATCTGAAGTAGGAAATGATTTGATATCCACCATCTATGTCAAACTAGTTTTGAAGGCTCGGAGAGGTCGTCCGTTGGATAAATTGAGGAAAGAAACGATAGAGATGGAATCGCCGTTGGATTATTAATTTCCGTACAACACTTGGTTTGTTGAATGTGAAGATCGAGCGATGGTCCGATGGAGGATCGAGTTATTATCTTAATAATGTGGTATGTCGATAATGAATATCGTTTATTTCGGGAATTATTGACGGTAGTTGCGGATGTGAGAGGTTTGTATTTGTATTGTTGTATATGTGTGCGACGATTGTTAATCTTTGTGTTTGTGTTTGCTTGAAGAAAGGATGGGGGATGGGATGGGATGGCGAATAGTTCCTTATGATTTATTCATCATGTGACCTTCCTTGATGTGAGTTCGAAATTCTTCTCGAAGTTCAGTCGAAAAATTGTCCACCACCAAAAACTCGAGCATGAAAATATGGTACCTTTCAGTCCAGTGTGAGATGAGGGCACACGACATCTTATATAACCACAACTCTAATCTCATCTGCATCACGCCTTATCTATCTTTCATCGGTTTCAACATCGGGTCTACAAATCATACCATCCTGCACAATCTAATCAAGACTGACAAGGTATTTCGCATTCCGGGGAAGACTGATTGATTGTATCTTGGCCTCTCATTCGGTTCGCGACAACGCTTGTACCCGCCCCTCAATTCCGCTGATAACATAGCTGCCAGATGGTCATATCGAGATGAGATAAGTGAAGATATGCCATTCTATTTGACCATTCGATGGAATGGGGGAAGGTCGCACAATATCAGAAACGTGGGACCCCAGTAACTCGGGAGATCATTTCCCTCTTATCCTCCAAGATATACACCCTAACAGGCAACTCATCTTTTTTACATCAGTTTCCTCAATGCCCTCCATGTTGAGGTGTACAAACACACAAGTTTCATACCTCAGTCATTCATTCTTATGAACCTTGTCTATTCACCTCAAGTGAGTGTCTTTTCGCTCATACATCTGATAGTTGTCAGATCGTCCCAAGAGAGGAGGAGTTTAATGCTGTTGATGAATCAGGGAGCCTCTACTGAGACTTCATTCCATCGACTCGTCTGTTTTGTTTGTCTTGTTTCCTAATGTGTTCTGTGGATAAAAATTATCATAGGCGATATGAATTTGATAGGGTAAATAAGATCCGATGCGGCATCATCTGTTTGCCTTATCTATGGCACAATATCTTGGGATTTATCTCTCAAGGAAGACCAATTCACTCCATTTCCATTGTAACATCCGTTTACTATTTCAATATCACATGAAGCGTTCCTTCATAAACCCGGTGTTAGATTTTTAGCCTAAGGGATTCACGCCAATACAAGTATTTGCCATTCACGGCTCACACCCTACCGTCTAAAATAACTTCCACAAATACTCCGATTGATCAGAACTTGTGCCTGCATTCTTGATCATAATCATGTTTCAACAAGCCTCCAATAAGCATTATCGGTTGTGATGTACATCTTCAATATGACGATCAAAAATTCTTCGTGCGACGTTGATTCTCTCTGTTGGAAAGGCAGATACTTCGTTGACGTTATTCCTAACTCTGAACAATAACAATAATTTTTCGTCGTCACTATAGCTGGTCAAAATTCACCTTCTTTGTTCTGCACATGATTCCCAAAATAACTCGTGAATAAAATAATAACTTTGCTTTGTCTTCGCCCATTCACCCAGGTCCAACTTCAACATCAAATTCTTTGATAAAGTCGACGAAGTCTAGTCAAGATGGCTTTTGTAACTACCATTAGCGGAAAACATGGTCCCTTATGGCTTCCGATTTAAGAATACTACCGTTCCATACAATACTACAACTTCATACAAGATGGCGACCCTGAACTTCTCTTTAAAGGTAAACAACGCGGTTTCGGAAGCAGCTGGTATCTTAGCATCTGCGACTCCTAATTCTATCGTTCCGGTCGAAAGTGCTACTATTCCACCGTCGACTGGTAATACCCTTGCTCCTCCTGAGAGCGCGGTAACTCTCTCACCATCATACACGTTCCCAGATCCTGATGTCCTCGTTGTTACTACCTTCTCAACAACGACCATTCCGTATCTAGATCCGGTCATTCAGGTTCCTACTCTATCTCCAGTTGAACCAACAACTAAACATGTCACACCAATCCCTTCATCTACTTCCGTCTTATTTGGCTTTCCCGTAGTTCCTGCGGCACCATCAAGTACTATAAACATCATCCCTTCTTCTACGATACTTCCAAATATCTCACCTACGTCTTTAACAACAACTCCCACTCTTACACCATCATACATCATTCCCACCACTCTAGAAACATTATCTTCCACCCCATCACCACAATCAACACAAGCACCTGCTTCTCTCACATCCACCACGCCACTCCCCACCAACTCTAACTCTTCAACCAGCCACCTCGGAGCCTACATCGGTGGCGCTGTCGGTGGTGCCGCCATCACCATCCTTTTTCTCCTCGCCATCTTCTGTCTTGCCCGCCGTCGCAAAAGTAAATCCCCTAAACACCACCCCGACCGTCCCGCTTTCATCGGCGGCTACGAATTAAAATTGGATAAAGTAGGAGATCTACAACGCGTTGTCCACGAAAAAATAGTCAGGAGAAATACATTCGAAGCGTGGAAGAAAGGTGTCGTACCTAGTCTTAAGCAAGATGCGGATGATATGGCTGGGAAAAGTGAAATCAGTCTTGGTGTTGGGACTCCTCAAACTGGATATTCAGGTCCGCTAGCAGATGTTGCGGAAAGTGTGAGTTCACGGGGCTTATCAGATCAGGAGGGAAGAGAATCGTTCAGAGGAGAGAAACGCAGCGAAGCTGGAGATGATGAGGATAGATATATGGTCTCCCCAATAGAGGAGGAGCAAAACCCTTCGAGACCTGTATCTGGTATTAATCCTTTGATTTTTGAATGGGAGGAAAGAGTAGATCAGAGAGGAGATTCAACGATTGGGATCATTGGACTGGCAATATAGATTTGGGGATTTACATCAGAAACATATAAGATACAAGAAGAGAAACACATAGATCAAATGTACATACTACTATTTATAGATTAGATACCGCTAGCAACTTCAATTTTACGCAGAATACTTTTAAACTTAATGATATACATGCGTTTACATATTCTCCCAATAGTAGTGATCGTCTTTCCCCATCCCCAATCCAATCCTGGTCTTCCTCATCATCTCCTTTTATCTAATTTTGACTTTGATATATATACCTCCATTTCTTTCGCACCTTCAACAAACAACACAAACCCAAGCGGCTTTAGCTCACTTGGGAGAGCGCCAGACTGAAGTTCACTTCAGGAACCTAATAGAGTCAATTTGTTTATCTGGAGGCACTGTGTTCGATCCACAGAAGCCGCATTCTGCGAGTTGAGGACCACCTTGACTTAAATTTTCTTTTGCTTCTTCTTTTTTCTTAACTTTGATTATAATTACAATGTGTAGAAGAGCATGTTTTTGAGGTTCTGAGTAGTGGTGAATGTGGGGAGAAAATCTTGTGGGAAAAGGTGGAGATGGGAATTTTAGGGTAGCGAGGTGAGACTTCTAAGTGGGGGAGATGAGGGGTAGGCGAATCGGTATTCTCCTTTCTTTTGCCGAATGTGTTTATCATAGCATTCATTGTACTTTGTAGATAGAGTAACGAACTGGCCTAGGTTGGATTTGGTGATTTTGAAGTTCATATTAAAGGTTTAGATAAGGTCCGTACTTCTGTATTGATACTGTAGTTTATTGTGAGTGGTCTAGGTTTAAAAATTTCTTCTAGTCTCACGGGACCGGCGTGCCATTATTTGAGAGATATTGAAGTGAAATCTGATTTACTGGGTTTGCATTATTTGGTATTTACCATAACCCATCTAAGTTAGATAAGATCGCCTTAAATATCTTAGACATTGGCTAAAAAAGATTATGTGAAAGGTAAGGCGTTTGCATAGAGCTTGAATCGCGAAGACTCTACTTGCGGGGACTACAGGTAAGGCTTCACAGTTGAGGGCGATGATGTTGAGAGAAATTGTCAGATACATGAGTCTACGAGTTGCCGAGTTGACGGACCATTGGGATGGGAAGGATTGAGTTGGATTGCTGAGTTGAATCCAGAATTTGGGATTATATCATCGGAGATATAAGGCTAGGATAGGATAGTCTTGAGCTCTCGATATTGATTGTTTTACTGACCCAGCGGAATATAATCAGGTAGTCCTGCGGTGTGACCCTCATTTGGGACGCCTTGAGTAAAGGAGCTTTCACGCTCTTAATCGATTATGACGAGATAACGGCTCAGCCGCAGCTCTTGTTGCACTTTTTACTACGGTTGTCCAACGCCTCTCTACACGTCGTGCCTGGCAAAGAATATATGTGAAAGTCATGGATGTGGTTCACTGGACAAAGTTGCATTGGGGAAATGGCACAGAAGCAAGTAGTGCGAGGATAGATCTTTCATATGACCTCTGTCAAAAGCAGAACTCTTGCTGCCTATATTTATTGAAAGTAAAAAGTTGAAGTTGATGATGTTACAATGACACAACTTCATTATCACACTTCTTTGCCATTTACATTGCAAGTCACGACGCTTCACCATGGAAAAGGATTGTAATGTCTTTTGACAGTATTCAAAACAGTATGCCACAGATCTTGATTCCAAACTCAAGGTGAGCATGAAGCTCTTGACTACGAGCCAAATCCCAGTTACCTGCATCGCCAACTGGACGAGTCTTTTGGAGCTGCTCTCTACCAACTTGCAAACCCTAATTTTTGAAGACAAGATGTACCATCAACCTGAATGAAGGAAAGCTCCATGAATAAGACTTTCTGATCATTTAGGGGTTGTCGATATAAGCTGGCAAAGACCTTGTAATTTCCCCTCATTTACCCAAATAAAAGCGACAGCATTGTATATGCATTATTCCAAACCCACATATTCTTCGAACGAAAAAACACATTCTTGCCAGCGGATATCCAAATTCTCTTCAGACGCGTTTTCATAGATATTATTTGGAGGCCGGTTGCCATATCGAACATGGATTGGATAACTGTGGGTTGTCGGTCTTCAGTGCATGTCGTCCCCCACCTTCTGATGGAATTGATGTGGGTCCTTTTAATTCTTGGATTTATATAACAAAATATGCGGCTCGCTCAGCATCAAACATCCCTCGTGGCGCAATTGGCTAGCGCGTTCGACTGTTAAGTGAAGCCATTCATTCGCACAGATAAATCGAGAGGTTCGTGGTTCGACCCCACGCGAGGGAGCTTATCTTTTGTTTTTTTGCGCCGATATTCAACGATTGACATCTTCATAATCGAAATAGACCAGCTTTTTGAAAAAGTCATTAAGTTAAGGGATTTGCTGAGCCATTGATTGGTTATGAGCAAAGACAAGGGCTAGGGAAATGAGGGTAGGGTGGGAGATATAGGGAGCTTAGTTTGATAATTTTAAATTTTATCCTCCCCGTTGAACAAACGATTCACTCGCCAATATCGATTAACGATGACTCGTTTGAATCTTCTCGAACCTTTCTCTACTACAAAGGTTGGTGATTCAAGCCCTCCAGAGTGAGATTCGTCTTCTGCTTCTGCTTCTGCTTCTGCTTCTTACGTTCCTTGGTCGACGCAAGATAGAGAGAAGCATGAGAAACGAGAGCTTCGGAGATAAGATTACTATCTCAGTCTTTCATGAAGGATCGTGAGTTAGAGTGTCATAGAGCCGTGAAGAGATAGATATGCATGCCGAGAGCCCTATTGGCAATCGCAGTCTTGAATGGGATGGCAATTTTCTGCCCATGCCGGAACTGGCTGTTTGATATCCTACTGCGTGTGTGTAGGTTTCAATATTTGCTCTCGTACCCGAATCCACATGCCTCCTGTCTCCTAGACTATTCGTAGGCGAAACGTACGTTCAAAAATCGGAGTCCGAGTCCTCCTTACGCTCTGCTGCCCGATTGCTGTTTCCTTTTGTTTGCCCCTGTCCCTGTTGTTGTTGCTGTGCACTCCCCGCGATTGTCTCTTCTCCTAGAACTTTGCTTGCAGCCATGAATCTGATGGAGAAATTGTTAGCCTTATCCTTTCTGTAGAACTCGGTTTGAAGAATCTAAAGAATGAAACAGTAAACTTACAGTCCTCCATGATAAGCACCCAAGCCTCGAATAGACTCAGCTTGTATACTAGTATTTCGTAGAAGATTCTCAAGATCACCAAGGTTGGCAGAAAGTTGGGCGAGTTGTGCGTGTAGATGAGACTGGGGTTGTTAGTTAGAATTGTTGTATGCGTTGTTTTGAATGGGAGACGAAAGTACTGAGTGACAGAGTATCAAAGTGAAAATGAAATGTTGATAGAGTATCTAGAGGGGCTTGGGAATCATACCAGCTGTCGTGGTTTGGTACTACTACTGGGTGCAGTGGAAAGACGAGGTGCGCCGCCGCTGGGAAGTCTGGATGACATTGTCGTAGGAAATAGATGGGAGGATTGCGAGATTGAGTAAAGAATTCGAAAATCAAAATGCCAAATAAAGAATCCTAAAGATTCGAGACGGCTGATAAGTCTGTCGTTGCGCAGGAGATAGTTTGGACCTATGGAGGGGTAGGTAATTATCAAGAAAGACTTGATCCGAGTTACCACAGCACTCTTTTCGCGGTGAATGCAGATACTTATTTATCTTTTGATTTCGAAAAACAAGGGAAGTTTTGTATTATCGTTCTTTAAGTTTGATATCTTGAGATATTAATTATATTGCGCAGCAATAAGCCGCGGGTGTTTAACAGAAAGCACATTGTAAACAAATGGGTATGCACGGGCCATGATTATTTTGTATAAATGTACGTCGTCTTATTATTGGTATTTTATTATTGCTGTTCCTATAGAACATTGTCGAGAGTCTGAATATCAAACGATGGATCTCATTCTCCGTGTAGGACACCTTCATGATCCTCGAATATAGACTGGCCAGATCAAGACTTGCTGGACTGCTCTCTAAACTACCTAGCTGACCGATTGATCTGGTCAGCCTTTCGGTAATCCTCACGAGTCTTGTTGACCTTATGTTCAATAAACTGCCAGACAATGTCATTGAATCCATGACAATCCGCGGCCCAAACTTGTTCGATGAGGGGAGCAAAAAAATCTGAGGGTTCAGAGGAAGGAACTGGTCCCCAGCCAATAGGAACAATTGGTAGATGACCATCAACGTATGCGAACTTTGAAGTGCCAAATACATCTCCAATCCGTTGGTGCAAGCTCTGTTGCGAAATCTCGCCGTGATCCAGTTTTTGCGTACGGAAGGAAATTCCTTGGAAGTCAAGCACCTGACAATTTGGCCCAAACAAAGGCATGGGAGGAGCTTCGTATTCACCGGTAAGGAGCCTACAATCTTCTAAACAGACGGCTTTAATATCGTTTTTGATAGAGGCATGAGCTATGCTAAAGAGTCTGAGGTATGTGGCTAGAGGAGCGCCCATATTATATGGCCTGAAAAGGTGATTAAACATGTGTAGATTATAAAAGTATGGATCCAAGGGTTGAGTGAAAAGGTGTGGTACATCGCAGTCAACGTTGAAGTATATACGGGCGTTCGAAGGGTCCGCAGCAAAGCAAAGCTTATAGAATCTCAGAGTCTCATCTCTTGATCCTTTGCAGATGCGAAGGCCAGTAGGGGTGTTAGTATTGCTCATGAAATGACCCTCAATAAGAGAGATGCGGATCGACCGGGGTCCAGGGAACGATAATCTCCATATTTTAAGACGAAGCTCGAGGGGAACTCTTAGAAATGAATGGGAGGTATCTTGAGTCGTTGCTGATGCCATGCCGTTGCTTTTAGTATGGGAAACGACTTTGGTGATCAAGTCAGTTGAGGGCCGAGATTGAAAATTTTGTTTTCAAAGATTTCAAAGAAGGGACGGTGGACTTTATAGATGAAAAGAATGTCATAAGCCGTACAATACAAAAGAGTGAATTACCAACGAAGCTGAGCTATGATATTACTTGAATTCACTCATTTTAATTCCACTAATCACTACACCACATTATGAGCTCCAATGGGCCTTCGATTTGTCGGTGACATACGGCGTCTTCAATCAGTTGGTTGCCCGGCCCTTTCTTACACTCCTGATGCTCTAGAACTTATGGATCACACCTGAAATAGTCAACATAGATGCTGCCGTTACTACTGTTCAACACCACATCGTCAGGTTCGGTTTCTCAGAAGATTCAATAGGCAGAAAGCTTTTTGGCACCACATTTTCTGAGCCCAGAACTCTTGTTCAATCCATTGCCGATCGAAGTTATATCAAATTCAAGATTACCTTTCCCTAACAGCTTAAACTTCCCACTCATTTCCCCTCCTCCTCTCCCTTTCCCTTTTCCTCCTCATCCCCACCGACACCAGGTCTATCCAAGTACCAACACCTGACATCACTCAACTTTCCCTCATCTATCCTTCTCGAGTAAAACTACTCATATCACAAAATCATTAGTCTCCTTACCATCTCTCTCCCCACAAAACAAAAATCCTTCTGCAAAAGAGACTCACATTTTTAAGAACTTCACTTTTTCTCGCTCCCACTTTGGCTATTGTCCTCTCGCTTGCTTTATTTCTCGGATCAATTTTTGCGACGAGGTGCGGGATATGGGATCTCTCTATTGTGCGGATGGTTGTGTTAGTATATCCTGTTTCTTTTTCTAGAGGGGAGCTTATGGTTGGCCATGGAAGAGGGAATCTTTCTCTCCTAAACATACTTTACACCGAGGATGAAAAGGACAGACAAGAACAGAGATAAAAGAAAAAGAGAAATCATACCTTCCATTCCCCAATAAATCTTCAAAAACTCAGTTACTCCCCACGTAGCATATCCATTACCATAATAATCGGGATTCACACAGTATCCCATTTCGAGACCTTCGGGAGATGGGCGGTTGGTGCCAACGAAACCTACGCATTTGGGTCGGTCTGAAGATATTAGTTGGGGAGGGAGAAGTGATGAAGATAATGGAATGGAGAGATGGGGGGGGAGGGGCGGACGGATGAGAACCAAGATATACAAGGCTGTTTGAGAAGAATGGTATGAGGTAAAGCCTCAAGCTTTTGAAGATCATCCCGAGATCGTCTCTTCAAGAGTCGAAACCCGGAGTATGAGTTTAAACTTTAAACTCCCTCCACTCCTATGAAGCTGACACACTTCATTCCCTCATCTCAAAATCACAGAACCATCTCTCATTCGATCCTTACGCAAGGATTAAAGAGAGAACTTATCCTGCAAGCTCAACATGAAGATTCTACTCTCCCCGAGCAATGTTATCTCATGCTTGGTCCCCAAAAATAAAGCATCATCAAGTAAATTTAAAGCTGCCCCGGAAACTTCCAGGTGTGCTTACCTCCCTCCCCTTTTTCTCACCTCTCTCACGTAGAACCGACGTTCTTCTCTTACATTCCCAGCCCTGTCCCCTACACTTCTCTCCTCCCCCCCCCCTTTCCCATCCCCATCTCCCACCAAAGAGACTCCAACACGTCACCCCTCCTCACCCCATACAAAAACAAAACAGAAAACCACACTCAAACCCCTCAAGACCCTCAAAAAAAAAAAAAAAAAAGCTCAACTCACCACCCTCCCCCTCGCCCTGAAGCAAAATCGCAAATTTATCAATTCCCTCCGCCTCCCCCCCCGGATTCTCTTCCGTCCTCGGTAAAATATGTTGCAAAAACTCTAGTGCATCTTCTTTTGTTTTCATGGGGACTTGTGTTCTATTTTTTTGTAGAAGAACTTCGTTAGAAACCTTTCTCACGTATTATTTTTTACCATTCCTCTTCCTCCTCTCCCTTTTCTTCCTCAATCCATCTCTCATTCTTTGTACTAAAATAAAGAAAAAGGAAAAGAAAAGGGAGAATAAGAAAAGGTAGAATAGTAGAAATTTGAAATAAGAAAGAGGAAAAATAGGAACAAGAGGAAAAAAAAAACAGACGACCAAACAAGCCCCCTTTCCTCTCTCCAAATTTCCCAAAAATCATCCAAATGTTCGGTTGTAGACAGGGGGGCCAGTTTAAGATTTTGTTGTTTTTCCAAAGGATTACAGGGCAAAGATTCGATTTTGGTGGTGTTTGAGTTCATTGTGTGGGTAATGTGTAACTGTACTTGAGGTGGAATGGAATGGTTGGAGTGGCTAGTTGTTGGATGGAGGATGGAGGATGGAGGATGGGATTTGAGAGGAATGGAGATGAAGATGAGAAGGATATCGAAGAATTATTCAGATAGGAAGATAATTGACAAGTTGACAAGTATAAAACATCAAGTACTCTATATATGATTGAATTATGACACATACGGCGAGCACCGACGTCACCAAGTAAGATTTTGGTGCCAAAATTCAGAAAATGTGACGAGAAGTGGAACTTGCACAACAAAATTAAAGGAAAGACATTGATTGCGAAGTCTGTTATTTCTTATTTGTTTTCGATATCGAAAAGTATTATACATGTTCCGTGTTCCGAATCCTGATCGCTTGTTACATTTTCGTGGCTACCCCTACTTACAATTCCTCATTCATGTAAGGAATCAACCTCTCCATCAAATCTTCCACCTCCAATTCCTCACCAGCCCACATCTCTCCGCCCGGAGTCTTGGGTGGAATCAAAACGGAGCTCAAAACATGAATAACACCATCCTTTGCAATACCATCTTGAACACTAACGCTGCTGAATCCATTGATTCTGATGGTGATGAAGCCGCCAAATCTGCCAACATCGATACTCAGACTCTTATCTTTCAACAAGGTAGGTAAATCAACGTGGAAATGTCCCTTGGGGATGTTCGCAGAATCGATTCCATCAACCTCATTGATGCTCTGATCATCAGACTTGGCTTTGTAGAAAGCATCAGAGTAGAGAGTTTGATTTGCAACAACGTGATATTTGAGAAGAGCTTTCAGGTATTTTTGACCGTAGTTGCTGAAGAGGAACGCATTGATTCTAGGACCAAGCTTCTGGAATGCCCAGTTGCTGGGTGCGAATAATGTTCCTCCTGTATGATGAGATGCAGCAATGTCATCGAAAAGACCAGTTTTTTCGAGACCAAGTTGGAGAGTTGAAAACTCGCTAGGAAGGAGCTCGATGATCTTAAGGACTGGGGGAGGTGGTAGGAGAAGTGAATCGACGCCGTGAATTACTCCGTTCGTACCGAACTAGTGAAATTCAGGTTAGCATAGTCTTGATATGGGAAGAGATATTGGAACATACAATATTGACAGCAATGATTCTGCTGTAGAAGTTGACGGCTAATCCCTTTAAACCTAAACCCACACGAAGACGTTGAGGTTCGTCACCAAGACGGCCTTCCTTCAATGCGGTTGGAATAGTATGCGTGACGAGGACACGACCAGCGGGGTAAAAATCCGGAGATACGTGGTATTCCAAGACAGCCTTGATCAACTCCTTTGAAGGCTTCTTGTGTTGTTCTGGGATCTTCTCAAATGCCGCATCGGTTGGTGCAAATACGGTGTAGTTTGCTGCTGTGCCGTTCAAAGCATCGACAAGATCTGGATATTCGTTGATAAGCTTCGCAAGTTTGGTAGTGTACTTGCTGCTAGCAATCAATTCATAGACAGTCTTGTTAGGCTTTCCATGACCGTGATGTGGGTTCTTTGGGTGGTGCGGAGGCTTCTCGTGATGTGGAGGCTTCTCATGAGGATGATCGAAAATATCAATATCCTCGACGGTAGAAATGGCAGAGTCCAACCAGCCGGAGATATCAAACTTTGACATTGAGTGGTGACACTCGATGACATTCTGAGCCTTTTGACCGGCCTCAGAAAGGGTATCGATAGCGTTGTCAAAGGCATTCTCGCTGAATGCAATTGCATCTTTCAAGGAGTTTTCGGCATGAGAGATAAGGTTGTCTTTAATCTCTGGAACTCTATCAAGCCAGGTCTTTGAAGACTTCTGAGATTCGACAATGATCTGATTGGTTATCTGTTCGTCAGGGATAACCAAGGCAGAAGAAACTACCGCAAAGGGCAAAAGAGTAGTTGAAAACTTCATGTTGATATGATTGATAAATGGAAGAAAGAGAAATGAGGCGGGCAGTATCGTAGGTATAAATACAATGGAATGCTGTGATCAGAGCCAAGGTACTAGCGATTCAATGACGCCTTCTCACACCGCGTAAATGCTTTGAAACAGAGACAACTCGGTTCGACTCGTTTACTGAGAAGATTAAGGCGAATGCCAATCAGCCCGAGTCAATTTGGCAGTGAAGATTTAATCAATGTGATGTGGATATATATTAAGAACGCGAACAGAAGTGACACCCGAGGCACCGACAAATATTGCAAAGTCAATTGATATATGTTTATGTTCCTTTCAAACTTGACTTTGTTTCCATACGCATATTCGTACCAAAGAAGGACTAGAAGGCAGTCAATCCTTGCGTGTTTCTTTGTAAGAATACGAAATCCATAACATCATCGATCCAAAGAGGAGGAGGCGTCATGATGCTTTGTTGCTCTATGCAGCTTACCAGCCAATCATTCATGTTCATTTGACATTTGACATTTACCCCTCGATCGGAGGTTGCAGAGACCGACGGACAAGGTGTGAAATGAAAGTCCGCTCAGTCCGATGAAATGAAGATATTGATGAACAATTGTAGGTGGCATTCTGTGTAAGATTTTAATGAAAGTTGTGCAAAGGTTGAGTGGTGGTGGTCTCTCGTATACAGAGTAGATGTCTGGTGAGAAACAGGAGACATCGGACGGGAGGCATGGAAGCTACTCGCCTATTCAACATCGTAAATAATTCTAGCTGCTGTGAGGGGGAGTGCTAGATACCCACCTAGTGTTTTGGGTATTCAAATTTGGAGTATCCAAGTTGCAGAGGTGGAAGAGGTGGAAGAGGTGGATTATTCTATATAGTAAAATCTCTCTATAAAGATACCGGTTTTTGTGGTGTTTATGTATCCTCGTTATATTCCGTGGCAATTCCAATTTTCTACTCTGGGACCGAAAAATATATCCTTATAAAGAGATTATCCTCTGAGAGAAGTCTTACTCTAATACTTGGCTGTCTACACCCGTTAGTCGTTTTTGGTATCACTGGCTTAACAAGGTCTACTCCATCGACACGCTTGCGGTTCAAAAAGCCTGATAGAATCTGGCTCGAAGTTGGCCAGGATCTAACACACCTGGAACACCTTCCACAATATCTCCAATATCTCCAATCATCTCATTGCATTTTTGAGCTTCGTTTGGCCTGCTCTAAAATGAATGAAATTTCTCAATCAATACCACTTCCATCGTTATCATTTCAAGCTTCAAGAACCGTTCACACTCATAGCAGGGTTACGAAACAAGCTTTTTCACCATATATCCCGTGGAGCCACTATGACGCTTGGCGGAGCTTTTCGATCCAAGCAGTCAAACTTCACCATAAGTCAATCCATGCTTCTATGAATAGCATGTTTGGAAAGCCACTTCAATTGGATTAACAAGTATTCATCAGGTAAAAGAAACTCTCTTTATGTGGTCTTTAAGTACTTAGTGGCTGGTGCTTGCCCGTGCTTGCAAGTTACAATTGAGTCCATTTCATCAGATGTCGTCATCTTCATTAAGGTGCTCTGACAAGTGAGTGAATTGGTTGTTTGATGCTTTTCAATAAAGCTGTTGTGTTACCAGCTAGAAATTGACATATCAAATTAACCTCTTCTTCCTTCTCGATATTCTCAATACTATTAACGTACTCTCTATCCCATACTTTGCTAGAAATTTCAAATACTATACCACCATTGCAACTTCTAATCCAATATAATCACCATGTCTCTCGCACGCCATGTAAGTTGGTGTTATCTCATGCTTCCAATGCTAAGCTCCTCATACTGACCGTATCTCCAATTCAGGTTGACCCTGACCAGATTATCCAAAATCTACAGAATATGCACATGAAAGAAGCCGGTCAAAAGCATGTGCACACCAAAGGAGGAACCTCTCATATTACCCCATACTCGACTCGATATGCTTCCAAACAAGAAATCTCCAAGTTCGAAATACCTCGAGAGGGAGCACCAGCAGATGCTGTTCATCAGATGTTGAAGGATGAATTGGATCTCGATGGAAGACCTAATCTAAACTTGGCAAGGTATGTTCAGTTGATTAGATCATTAGAGGAACATGAAGCCGGTCTAAAATTGCTAACCTCACCATCAGTTTCGTGGGTACATACATGGAAACTCATGCTGAACAATTAATGTTCGAGAACATTTCAAAGAACATGTCCGATGCAGACGAATATCCAGCAATGATGCAAATGCACACCCGATGTGTTTCCATCATCGCTAATCTTTGGGGAGCACAAAAGGGAGAGAAAGCTATTGGATCTGCAACAACTGGTTCTTCAGAAGCTATCCATCTTGGTGGTTTGGCTATGAAGAGACGTTGGCAAGAAAAGCGTGAGGCTGAAGGAAAAGATAAATCCAAGCCAAATATCATCATGGGCTCGAATGCTCAAGTAGCTCTTGAGAAATTCGCCAGATACTTTGAGGTCGAGGCTAGAATTCTTCCTGTGTCTGAAAAGTCAAACTTCAGACTTGATCCGGAATTGGTCAAGGAGAATATCGATGAGAATACTATTGGTATCTTCGTTATTTTAGGAAGTACATACACTGGTCATTATGAACCAGTTGAAGAAATTTCCAAAATCTTAGATGATTATGAGGCTAAGACTGGAGTTGATATCCCAATTCATGTCGATGCTGCGTCTGGAGGCTTTGTAGCTCCATTCACCCATGCTAAAGCTGGTGGTCCAAAGTGGAACTTCGAGCTCCCACGAGTCAAATCTATCAACACATCCGGTCACAAATTCGGTCTCGTGTACGCAGGTGTAGGCTGGATCATCTGGCGCGACGAGTCTTACCTTCCTAAACATCTTGTCTTCGAACTCCATTATCTAGGCGGAACAGAAGAATCTTACACTCTCAACTTTTCTCGACCAGGTGCTCAAGTTATCGCTCAGTACTATAACCTCATCCATCTCGGTTTCAATGGTTACCGTCAAATCATGGAGAACTGCATGAGCAACGCTCGTCTCCTTTCCAAATCTCTCGAAGCCACCGGATGGTACACATGCGTCTCCGACATTCACCGCAAGAAAGGTGAACACACATTTCAAGGCCTAAGCGCCTCCGTCTTCAGCAAAGAAGACGAAACGTCCGCTGATTACAACGCCGGTCTCCCCGTCGTCGCGTTCCGCTTCTCAGATGAATTTAAGAAAGAATTTCCACACATTGAGCAAGAGACTATCTCCAATCTTCTCCGCGCTAAACAATACATTATCCCCAACTACCCACTTCCTCCAAACGAGGAAAAGACTGAGATTCTAAGAGTGGTGGTTAGAGAGAGTATGAGTTTCGATCTGTTGGATCGATTGATTTCGGATATCTGTGCCACGACGCAGAATTTGATCGAGAATGATAAGCAAGACTTGAGTATTTTGAGTCAACACTTAAGCAAGGGACATGGAAGCGCGGAGAAGAATCATGGAAGTGTAGGACATAAACATGGAAAGGGGCAAGGAAAGGGTGGAAACAGACCAATGAGTGATGGAGTACATAGAGCGGTTTGCTAGATGATATTGGATTATGATTTTTATGGGTTTAGAATAATAATGGAATTTTGTTAATGAAGTCTAGGAAACAATCTTTCCCCTTCTTTTGAACTTTTGGTACCAACAATAATAATAATAAGATAGCAACTGAATATCCCATCCCATCTCCCCATCTATCTACTATCTAGGGACTTACACATATATATACCTTCAATTCTGAATTCAAACCACCATTACTATGACCCCAAAAACCATAGCATAGATTCGCTAACCTCCTTATCAAATATTTCAAGTCCTAAGTTCCAAGTTCAGCTTCGATACTCATTGCGCAAGTATACTCAGCCCACATATTCCATCACAATTCCTTCATCATATAAGTATTCTTATTCAACGGTTTTCTGGTGGTCTAGATATAGATATGGATAGATATCCCGTTGATATTTTAGCTTTCATTTGTATTTTGTATGGATCATTTATAATCTGCTGTTTGGAGGTCGATGAATGGATGGCTTGAGCAGAAAAGAAAGAAATATAATAGAATGGAATCAGGGAAGGAAGAGAAAAATGGGAGTTAGATTCAGGATCTCCTTATGTCTACAATCCAGTCTCAGACGATGATCTAATAAGAACTGATATATACATCCATTGTGGTCTCAAGGAGGATCAGATGAGAGGGTCATTGATTGAGCTTTCGAACTTTAATTTTCATTTCATTCGGATATCTGATTTGTATATAACGGGACGGGAATTCTCGATTTATGTATTTGCACGAGCCGAAGATACCTAGGTATATGTATGTAGTGTTAAAAGTACTAGAATGATGACTTAACGCAAGGAGGCACATCCCCCCTTTTAATTCCCGGCCATCAATTTCTCGACTGCCCACTTAACGCTCAAATTCCTCAAATCGCTATAATGCTGACCTACGCCTATAAACAGCACCGGTACATTCGTAGCATGCACCATGCTGACTAGGGTGCCCACCATATCCCCCACGGTATCGCATTTGCTAATAATAAATCCATCCAACGATCTGCCCTGGCCAAATGCCGCATTAAAGTTTCTTGCTTGCGCGACTGAATCTGTACCAACGAGTGCTTCGCCTACCATGAGGATTTTATCCGGTTGAGCGAATTTAGCGAATTTTTCAAGCGAGGACATGAGTCGTTGATCGTTGTGACGTCGTCCGGCTGTATCGATCAAGACTACATCGTAGCCTTCTTGGGCAGCGAAGGTGACGGAGTCTTTGGCTACGTTTGCGGCGTCTTTTCCGTAGCCTTTTTGATATAGTTCTACTTGACCACCTTCTCTGGTGGTAAGTTCTTTCAGATTTCGTACGTGAACGGCTAATTGTTCGACGGCTCCGGATCTGAAGGTGTCGCAAGCTACAACGAGAACTTTGTACTTATTCTGTAGAAGGAAATAACAAATCTTGGAAAGATTTGTGGATTTACCAACACCATTGACTCCGACAATGGACATGACATATGGCCTCTTTTTCTTCAACGACAAAGCTGGAGGCGAGACAATAGCATCGATTTCTCGAAGGAGATCAAGGGATGAGGTAGGAGTCAGAATTTTTCTTAGTGATGCCTCCATGGCTGTTGCGATTCTTGTTTGAACACCTGCAAATGGTCAGTGACGCTCAGGCAAAAATTATAAGTGCAATACATACTCTCAAAACTTCCAGTCTTCACTCCTATTAATTCCCGTTCTACACCCTCGCATAATCTCATCGTGGCTTCTCTTGCGACGTTCTTTCGTAATAAATGATCCTCCATTCCCTTCATGGCTTTGTCCAAATCTTCCTTAGTCAAAGTCTTTCCTCCGACCACATTTCTAAATAATCCTCCAATAGCACTGAACCCAGATCCTACTAGGCCAGCTGCTGGGGCGCTAGATTCTGCCTTCTTCGCATTCGCGGAATCCAAAATCGAATGGACCTCGTCTTCAAGATCCTTCAATACGAACTGCCCCTTTCCAGTTTTTGAACCCCATGAGGTTTGTTCAACTCCCTCCACAGCACCCGGGCGACCCTCATCCTCCCCCGAAGTAGCCCCATTCGCGGGAGCAGAATAGTCGAGGGGGGTATCGCTATCCTCATCTGCCATCCCGTCTGCATCCCACTTCCTTCCCTTCTTTGGTCCGGTTTTTACACTTCTACCCTTTCTGTGAGATTCGTCGCCGGATGAAGCATACGTAGGGGTCTGGGCTGCTTTTCGAGCTCTTCGAGAAACCTTTCCACCCGGTCCTGCTTTCGCGCTCAATATATGACTCGCAGGTGTACTCGGTCGCGAATTAGGTGTTCCAAGAGGAGTCGATTCGGGAGAAGGGATATCTTTGACATTGTTCTTTGATTGTCCTATGAGATATTAGTAAGTTTGCGCTTGAGAGAAACACTGGCGCATACCTCTCGAGGGTATTCCAGGCATTGGCGGAGGCTCATTATCCGAGGTCGTAGAGATCAAGGGGATCGACTCTTCGAATGCAGAAGCTTCTGCAACTCTAGCATCTTGATTCAAAGCACTCTTCTCCAACTCCCGCACTTGTTGATCGAAATATTCGTCGAAAGGACATTCGACAACAGTTGTGTGTGGTTTTCTCAATTGATCACCATATAAGTCCACGAAAATCGTTTTGACATTATCCACCAATTTATCAATCCATGAGAGATGTAGCAATGACCTGTACACAACCTGCAAGACAAGTTAGCACGAGAAGCCTCGAAAATCCCATGGAGTTAGTCGCGCCACAAGACCACTTTTGCATACCACAAATATTAAGCCTAATTCTTTGCACGTCGTCCATTTCAGAGTATGTTGATCGTGTTTGAAAGGAGGATTATTCGCAGCAGAAATATCATCTGCAACTCCGGCACCGGGTAAGGTTCGTTCTTCAATGAAGACATTCGTGATAAGGCTGTTAATAACCGCAGGGCTGACGGGGGAAAATTGTTTTGACCAGAGTACCACTCCAGAAGTAGTGAGGATCTCAAAAGTATCCAACATCTTAAGTATTAGAAATTCGTAACAGCCGTTAGAGTCGTAACAATAGATTCGTAGGATGTAACACTGTGGCACTATTAAAAGGAGTCCATCAAAGAAGATTATGGATTCATATGGACACTTTCTTCTAAAGCACACAGAATGATTGTGCCAAGCATCACCGATAAGCTGATAAACGTCGGTTGATAAAGCGGCCGCCATAGATGCTTATAGCAGCCACCCAAAGCTCAATGGTTTATGGAAATGTGTTCGACCTGGGCGCGATTCTTACTTATTGTATGATAGTTATACCACTTCCACCCCCCTATTATTCCACTTCTCGTACTATTAATCGCAGCAGACGCTATACGTCTACTTCTGCCAGACCGTCAATATGCAAAGATCAAATTATGGGAACTTCCCACCAGCAAACTCTCCTCCTCTCCATCACCCGGTACCTCAACATGTCTCTACAGTGCCTCAGCTACGATCACCACCTCCCCCAATGCCACAACAACAGCATCAGTCAGGCTATGGAAACCCTTATCAACCACAAGCTCCAGGAAATGCTGGCGCATTTGGCGCATATGGAGGCTTCATAAATGATCCTACGGCGCAAATGGGATTCCAAGTTGGACAAACAGCTTTAAAGCATGGAACAGAATATGTGGAACAAAACGTTAGTATATGAGGATACATATATTTATATATTGGAGATGCAGTTCTGACAACTAGATAGTTCAATCGATATATCAATGTTTCGGCGCTGAAACATTACTTCAATGTCTCGAATGGATATGTGGTCAACAAGCTATTTTTAGTCCTATTCCCATGGAGACATAAGCCTTGGTCAAGGAAACAATCGATTGGCCCCAGCGGTCAAGAGGGGTGGTTTTTACCTCCAAGAGATGATCTCAATAGTCCAGATATGTATATTCCAGGTATGATTAATTGCCCCGGCGCAAACTCCATAAATTGACATCTTCACAGTAATGGCACTTGTAACTTATATCCTCCTTTCCACACTTTTGGCCGGCCTCAGAGGAGCTTTTCAACCAGAACTTCTTGGATCAACGGCAGGATGGGCATTTTTCATTGTATTTATTGAAATTCTGGGATTGAAGCTTGGATGTTACCTCCTATCAATTTCCAACGAGTCCCAGCTACTTGATTTGGTAGCGTACTCTGGATATAAGTTCGTTGGAGTTATTGCCACTTTAGTTGTCAGTGAGATCATCAACGGCGGAAAAGGAACTGGCGGTTGGATTGGGTGGACTGTTTTCAGTTACACTTTCCTCGCTAATGCTTTGTTTCTGGTATGTTCCCCCCAAATAGCATTTCTTCATGCCCCTGACATAGATATGATAGTTACGATCCTTAAAATACGTGTTGCTTCCCGAAAACTCAACTGATGAGCGAGGGACCATGCAAACAGTTGCACGATCGCAGAAGAGCCGAAGGACACAATTTCTCTTTATCTACTCATACCCTGTACAATTGATCTTCATGTGGGGACTTACAAGAGCGTGAGTTAGTGGCTCGGATATGAGTTGGTACTGCATTGGCGTATAGAATGACAGTAGCGAGATCAATTGGATCGCTACTGGGGTTGATCTAAATTGCTCTTTGGTGAAAAGGCTAGGCTGGCACGACGAGGCAAATATGTAAGAATACAAGTTTTAAAATACCCAATACAAGTTGTTGTTATTCCACTGTTCACCAGCATCGATATGAATTAGCGATGGTTGTTAATGATGCAATTTTGTTGCGCATGCGGTAAACTTTTGAGCTATCATTAGAAATCGTTGAATGATAGCTCGCATTGTTAGTCTAAATCAGAACATCAAGTGATGTTGTCGTCTTAGTCGTCTTTATCGTCTTTTAAATGCTCGAATTGGATAAAGATCTTGAGAAGGGTCTCCGTCCAAATTTGACGTAAGTATTCAGATATATGAGCATATTGGAGTAGCGAGCTCATCGACTTTGGGACCCTGGCTCAACACGCCTCAATCGCAATGACATCCAAAGGATCTGTATTTTTGATATTATCTTTATTTCAAAATACATCAAAACTAAATCATGTGCTACTGAAACAGAAGCGTTTTTAATCCTTCATTGTGCCTCTCCCTTTCGCTTATGGTATGCTCCAACGAGCTACTTCGCAGCTCGGCAATGGTATAGATATTGAGAAGCTGAATATTTAGTTACCAACTGTCAAGTGACTAGTTACCATGTGCATCTGAGACTTGTGGCAAGGAGAATGTATATTATCTGTGCAATAAGAGAACGAAAGTCTACTCTGTGGGCTAATTGCCTGGTTAATTCGCAATTTACCTACTCAAAATGGATATGAAAAGGACGTGGTATGAAATAAGAAATCTGCTTATCTGTTATTATCGGCTCGAGTTTCGCCTACTCGGTATGGATTTCACCGATTGAAAGGTCTTGCATAATTCTTGGTAACATATTGTTGGAATATATCTATGCCTCCTGCATCTATCTAGAGTTATTACTTATACTGCCGTGACAATGTTATACTCTATGAAAAATAGATGGTGAAATTGCAGGACAACGATAGCTGTCCATGTTATATAAAAGGCTGACGATATAAGCGATAGCACTGCAGCGATAGCATAGTTGTGCTACTCACGACTGCTGGAGAAGACATATAGTGGACAATTGTAGAATACCTCATTGAAATAACAATTACAGGTGACCTCTGCAGCCATGTGAAACTATCGGGAAAATTATCTCCCAGATGGCTTCTAGTTTATCAGGGCTTTGCTAGGAGTTCTTCATTGCTCCATCTAGCAACTGCAATATCTTGACTAGCCAAATTTTCACCTTTTAGAACATACCCAAATATTAAGAGGCAAACAATACTAATTTATGCAATTTGAAAACGCCTTCCTACCCACGCCTTGTCCTCTCATGTCGAGATTCTCAACTAACTAGGTACCTAATCAATAACTATATGCTTTCCCACTTCCGCGACCCCAACAATTTCAATTTCGTCACCACTCTCATCGCTCAACAGACTCCTAGTTTTTGCTTCAGAATCCGTATCATCAACAAGATCCACGACCTCTAAACCATGATCAGTATCCTCGATATGCACTCCGTCCATGTCGATATCTTCGCAAATATCCATTTTATCGTCCATCTCCCCATCCCCATCTCCGTTCTCATCTCCATATCCATCTCTCTCATCCCTTACAACCCCATCCGTCCCCTCCATAAACCTTCTAATTCCCTCAAACAACACCTTCGCCACAACCGGCGGTACCGCATTCCCAATCTGTCTTTTAATCCCATTTTGTCCGAACTGATGCTTCAAAGGAAACCCTTGCAAACAAGCGAATTCTCGATCGGTAAATCCTCGTTTTCCGCTCGGATGCCAGTTATCACCACCGCTGGTGGTCATTGTGCGTGGAAGAATCGCGTGGGGATTATATGGTCTGAGATTTTTTTCTGGAAGGAGGTGAGGTGAGTGGTTTGCTGCGGAATTGGGGATTTCGCGGAGAGTTTGGGAGACGGTTTTAAAGGGCTTAGTCTTATTGAGAGAGGGAGACGAGGAGTGTGTTGGTAGGGGCATGGGGGGAAGGGGCTCGCCAGGGCTAAGAGGCTATTAGTTAAACTATAAAAACGAAATGCCTCCCAAGAAAACTCACCATGATGCGATAATAATCAAACGGAATCGTCTTTGCGGGAGTCCCTAAATAATTAATCAACAAATTGAGCTCGCTAAGCATAGAAAATAAGAGGAACTCACCCATTGAGCTAAAGGCACGATTGCCCATCTCAACGAAAACCCACAACTAGTGAACATACAAACCAAACTCGAAAAATATCCTCTAAACCTCGGATATAAAATGCCAAATGTCTGTTTCCAGCGTCACAACCCTCGGTTTCGCAACTGTGATGACTGCAGCTACAGCAAACAAACTCGCAGTATTCGTCTCATCATTCTTACCTTCGACTGTATGCGCAGGCGAAAAATACTGACACGGAGGTGAAAGATGAAGAATATCAACTTTGACATCATTAGGAATGTCTGAAGAATACGGAGAAGGAGTAGCCAGAGATACGAAGCGTTCGGAGGACATCTCGTAGCAATTTGCGTTGGGAAAATTGAGATGCCAGGTTGCGCAGGCGTGCTGATCGAAGTCGAAACCCCATTTTACGCGGAGACCGGCCATGACGGCGCCGCGTGTGGTACCTCCTGCTCCACAAAATGCATCGCCATAAGTAAAGGTTTGTCCGGGAGCCAGAATGAGTGGTTCTTTGAGTGAGGGTGTTTTGAGCTGTGGACCGAAACTAATGAGGAAGATCGGGATGGGTGGGACGATAGATTGATAACTCCGTTAGGTGGTGGAGAGGCTAGCTCAGATGAAGATATCTCGATTTGAGGAGGAATGTTTGGGGATGGAGCTGGGGAGGAGGGCAGTGAAACACTAGCCTCAAGATATGGAGCTCGAGATTTAAGGGCACTGTTTCTTGGTAAAGTCAAGCGACCCCTCAATCTTGGTCGAAAATCTCTGTAGAATCGAAGGCCTCCAGCTGATCTACTCGTATCACGAATTTGTTGTGTGGAGGTCAGCTTGCTTTCGGGCTCACTCTTTGGAACCGTCTCTGATAATGTCTCGATGTTGTAAGAATGCTTGATATATTCTTTACCGTTGAACGCAAGCTTCATCCGACCTAGACGCTGCCTAATCTGCTCCATATCGTCCTCGGGAACTTGGCGGGTTCTTTTTGCTGGTTTGTTATCTTCTTGGTCACTATATCGGTCTGAAGAGGACGAGAAATCTGACTTGCGTTTAGTTTTGATTCCACCTGCCTCATAGTTTTGGGATCTAGCAGTTGAAGAAGTATCATCGCCATCATCGCCATCATCGTCCTCATCGTCCTCGTCGACGATTATGAGTGTTTCAGGACGACTTTCGGTATCCTCGACCACGGCAGAATTTTGAGGTCGCCGGACTTGGGCCGCTGTTTCTTCTCCATCAATATCGTAGCATTCTGGTACATAAGCACCACCAGGAACCGTTTCTCCACGCCATTCGGTTCGAAGTTGGGTGTTTGAGGCTAGGTATGATTGCGTGTTTTGATGTACTGATGACAACCATTCCTCCGTGATCCGTTCTAGAGTTCTCTCTGCATATATGTTCTTTTCTCTAGCTGAAGCTGATGCATATTTACAAGTGTATTTCCAGCGTACAGTAAGTCCTCCTTTGTTGTAAGTATCCCCATCGGTCCAGGTAGCATCGCGATTCAGGTTGCGATACTTTGGGTAGCTGTGATTTGTCCAACGAAGACTACGTAGTGTCTTCACAGAGCTTACAGGTACTTCGACAAGGCTTTGCTCTTCTGGTGCCCGTGGGTCATCTAAGTCAATTTCGTAACATAGACAGATTTCGTTCATCTTCTTTTCTAGCATACCGTTCAGGTACTTGCATCGTTGTAATCTGAATCCTCGAATAGTGATAGAAGTATTTGGAGCGTTATCTAGACTAAGGTTACGGCTTTCTTCAGGCTTTACGTACCCCACAATGTGTTTAATGTAAATAAAATCGCCATCCTCCAGTTCTACAGTCTTCGCTGGTCTTAAGATGAGCTTTCCATGAAAAAACTTTTCGCATTCGAAATAAGGGCTGACAATTGGAGGATTGCGCAGCGGAACGGCTTTGAGTTTCGGCTGGGGTTTCGACTTTTCACTCACACTAACAGAGCGCAAGAACTCGAACTCGGATTTCTCTAGAAGTTGGGATTCGAGTTTAAATTCAAAGTCGTCGCTGTCTTCAATCACAACGGCGTTATCACCTGTGTGCGACGTCATTTCCTTGGCAGAAGACGTTTTCTCTTCGTCTCCACCCCCTTCATCTGAAATCGAGATCACACTTGCATTGGAAGAGCGACGCTCGGGCATAGAATGAGTATGAAGCGTGTTCCGAGAATTGGCAACCATTTCGTTGCGAGAGCTGAAAGTGCTTTCTTTAGTACCCGGACTTCTTGAGAGATGAATGCGGTCTTGTGATGTTTCTTGGTTGGTTCTGACTTCAGCAGCGATATTCCAGAGCCTTGAAGATTCGTATCCCTCGTCTTGGGGTATGAAGCCCGGAATACTAGTTAAGAGACTGCAAACTTTATCTCCAGGGCTAGTGCTCTCTTTGGGTTTCGTGCTACTAAAAGCCCCAGTGGTCGTCAAGTCAATGAAAGGGAGATTAGCTGAATGGTCAGGTGCAGGAGGACTGTCGGATTGGGACCTAAGGGTTGGTGTTGTGAGATGTTCTCTGGTATTTGGACGTGAAGCTCGGTTTTTGATGTCGGCGTTGAAAAATTGTGTTGAGGGCATACTGAGAGCTTTTGCGAGGTATCAGCATAGATATACCTGTGAGATAAGAGGACGAGAGCAAGCAAAACTAGGGCCGGCTGACCTACCTCGTTCTAGAATCACCACCTCATCTCTATCGTCATCTTCAATCATGATAACAGCAACATCATCATCAATAACTATTGCCTGATCCATTGCTACTTTCGAAGCTTAGAAAGATACTATTGAATGAAGTTGAATTATGCCAGTATGTAGCAGATCAAACAGACTTGCCGTGCAGGTTTCTTCTGGATGATACGGCCTCCTTAACCTTAGGCGATTAAGTAAGATATCCAAGTCCAGTTGCTTCTATTCAATCAATGCGACAAATTAACAATCCTTGAATCATGGATTTGATGGAAAGGCAGCTTTCAATATATGTTTTAGCTGCTTTGTTGTGAACTGTTCCCGCGAATTGCTCATACTTAGACCACATCATCCTGAAAGCAAGGTATCTGAATCATCTACATAAGGAGTTTATATTGCAATGACAAAAGCAGGAAAAAACAAAGTTATTACTATTCAGATAAGGCAATAAACGTGAATATGTTGTCTGCTCATTGTGAAGTAGAACATGATGGTTGTTAGAATTGATCGGGACAATTACACTATCTCATCTAACATCACTAGATGACATTGTCTTGTTGCTCATAGAGTGCTCGTAGATGAAAATTGTTATAATTCTTGGGACAGATGACCACACCACCTGCACTCTATAGTTTTGTTGTCTATGAGTACTCATTTGAGTAAAAGAAGTTTTCCAAAAGGTTCATGAGCTGCCTTTGTATCACCAGATGATGATGGATAACAAAAAGCTTTCAAAGATGATGATAGTACTGTAGAACTTTCTTGATCAGGGTGTATCGAAAGCAATAACCAGAATAAAGAGAACAACTCTGAGAAAACAAGATGAATTATCCAGCATGGCTGATCAAAGTAGGAGAAGAAAATGAGGCTAAACTAAATATCAGGCTAATTGGGGCGACTTGTATTCAGGCACGATTGTTCCCACGATGAGGGAGTGGAAGAGTGAACCCCCATTGCCCTCAATGTAACTATATACTGGAGTTTGAATTCGAATACGATGCGAGGTCTGACTATATGAAATAGACGTGAAATCGAGGCTGCTCTCGTCATATATGTGTAATCAATGCTCGAATACATTTCCCACAATGAGGTTCTCTTGTTATCTTCTACAACACTGGCTCTCAGTGTAGGAGACCAACTTCGGGACTCCGACAGGTCTCCCAATCAATTGAAGCCGAGTAACTCATCCAATTGTAGGCACAGAAGTTACTCGTGTTCCTACGAAAATAGACCTTGTTACACGAAGGCCTTGTCTTCCCTTCAATTGTCCTGCATCAGATCTCCGCAACATGTATTCCGAGTACTGTTCGCAATTTCAATCCCCATCAATTACCACAGCAGCATCATGATTGAAATCCCATTCACACATATGATATGAATCTCTACAGAAGAAGCAGAAAACAAGCCATGCAAACAGAAGAACAAACTGGCAGCCTTGAAAACCAGATTCACGGCCTTCATGCATACCCAGATTAAACAATCCCAGACGACATTCATTTCCCATACAAATGATTTGTTGCACATCTGAACTTTGAAGCCCCGAAAGTCCAGGCAATACGGGGGACGGAATTGGTACGCCGAATGAAGATTGTTGAATTTTGAGGCTTTCAGAATGTGACAATCCTAAGCTTTCGAGGTTCTAGAACATAGCCCCTGATGTTTAAGGCTGAAAATTCTGGGAGAGCTTAACAACGAACGTATCGAGGTAAAGACATAGCAGAGAGAGCTACCAAGACTTCCACAAAAATAATCCCTGCAGCTCAACTTCAAACTTCATCCAACTTTCCTTTCTTTCAGGAATTTACAGCTGTTTCTTCATCCAACATATAGCTTTCCGATCGGAAAGTTTCCAGAAAAATCATGGCAGACATGCGTGCACCACCCACTCCCACAGCCATGCTAATCGGCACCGCCATCATAGCCGGTCTCAGTGGATACATGATTGGAATTGCATCTAGTCTTGGATTCTTCCCAATTCCTTTTATGCCACGAGCACCCAAGGAACGCGGAATTGCGAATTACGACGACGAGGAAGAAAGCGAGGAAGAAGATATCGATGCATCGATATTAGACCATGCGCCCAACTGGTCCAATGGATTAGAAGCCGATAAACGCGATGGGTTACGAGCCACACAAAACGAGACTGCGAAAAAGAGTGAGAAGCAGAAGGAGAAGAGTGAAGGCGGACTGGTGGATACCGGAGAAGAATGTAAATTGGTCTTGGTTGTGAGAACGGATTTGGGTATGACGAAAGGTGTGTTATTGATTCCATTCCAGCTATTCACAATGTTTAGATATCTTACGACCTAACAACCCTCTCTTTAGGAAAAATCGCTGCACAATGTTCCCACGCCACACTCGCCTGCTACAAAACTATCTCGCGCCAACCCGCCAATGCATTGATTCTACGACGCTGGGAACGGGAAGGTCAGGCAAAGGTCGCGCTGCAAGTAAAGTCTGAAGATGAATTGCAAATCTTACAGGCGCAAGCTATTAGTTTGGGAGTTGTGGCCGAGCAGATTGCGGATGCGGGAAGAACGCAAATTGCGAGTGGGAGTCATACTGTTTTGGGAATTGGTCCTGCGCCAAAGAGTGTTATTGATCAGATTACTGGGAAATTAAAGTTGTTGTAGACGAGGATGATACTCGCAGATTTAAGGAGGTTTACGAATAAGGCTCTGAGAAGAACGAAGATGGGGTATTGCAGTCCCAAAATGAGTATCATAAATACTTGGGGCTCGAACGCTCCCGAGCACAGGATTAGGGGCAAGAAGGATGATCTGAGGGAATATTGATTGCTTCAAGACTTATGGGGATGAAGATGTTGAAGACATCGAAGTTATGAAACTGAAATATAGGGACACAAAAGCGTAGCATTGCTGGCGTTTAAGACGACCAAGGATATACTTGTAGATATGAACAGGCTTTGAAATGGACTCATACCAAAGCCTCGACCGGACTGGTTTTAATCCCTATGCCCCTTTCCTGTTATATTTCACATGTGCTTTCACCCTGATGCTGGTACTTGTTCAGTGACATGTATCGGGGTGAGAGCCACCAGTCACCTTAGTTCTTTAGTTTCCAGTGTTGCATTTGAGACTGTAATCTTGTATTGGATATGCAGTACAATGCCATGATCTCTCCAGCCAGTAAGTGATATCGGATATTACACACAGCCAGCCTATTACGCACCATAGAAAACAATTACGACCGCGATTACATTCCAGAAAAGAACCGTGTGCAACTAATATTATCATTAAAACTCAAACGCTGGTTGGGTATATCATATCATACACATTATTCTTTCTTCGACAAAGCTCCACCAAAATAGTCGCTGTAAACAGTATATCTTCTGTTGCTCCAAGATGTTCTTCCTTTCGTTTTCTGCCGAGGGTCATTATTTATCTGTGGTTGCTATTAGTGTTATGGGTCTTTAAAGATCGGGTTAGAGTGGACAGTTGGGATTGGGGTGACGTTGAGGTTGAGGTTGTAAATTGGTATTCAAACACCTATAATTGCGACTGTTGAGAGAAACGAACAGACTTACATTCTTGGTCCCTCAATTAGTTCAATTCATCATCACTGCTCTTGATCAACTGATGGTTGTTTGTAATCAAGGGCTTCTCAAACTTGTACTACGAGGAAAAGTCAGTGTGCTCGCTTCGGTACATTGAATCGAGCACTTCAACTTACCTGAACTCTTCTCAAAAGCAAGCCTAGCTTCTTCCTCAAAGGAGTCTTCCTCGAAGGCTTAAACTTTATCTGGGGAAGTTCATCGACTGGACATGCTAATGCAGCTCTTAATTTATCAGCATGTGTTCGAACACCGTATGAAGATGCTTTCAGGCTGCGTTGTTGGCCGGTGAGTGTTCCCGCTGGTGAAAGTGGTATGAGCGAATCTTGGCTGCCAGTCAAAGATAAGCTCTTGCTGTCGCGGGAAGGCTGTCGAATTGGTATGGCGCGTGGGGAAACGTATGGGCTGCATTGGTGTTGGCTGATGGGCGAGTGAAATTCACTATGACGAGCAGAAAAAGCTGGACTGTAGTTTTTAGAAACGTATTGGGACCGAATAGGAGTTGTAGGGATGGATGTTTGATACCCATCATCTGGAGGGAGCCCCCGTTCACAGATATAAGGTGGCAGAGATGATGATTTAATTGCATCTCCATTCCTAATAGATTGACTACTGGCTTTAGTAGTTAGACTTTCACCGTTAGATGGGATCTGGAATAACGAATTTGTTGTTGATTCCGACTTGGTGAGATGCACAACCGCATCTTCAGGGAAGGCACTTTGTTCTTGTTTCAACGATTCACTGAGTAAGGTACCACATTTTGGACATCCTTTACAGCATGCCGTGCAAGGGCCTAGAGTTGTACTGTCTTTGAAACAGAGGGAGCAGAGGAAATCGCCAGTACAGTATTCTGGTTTAGTGGCGTCATGATCCTCGTACACATGGAAAGGCTTTTCGTGCTTTTCATTTGGCATGATGGCAATGACAGATGGGGAATTTGCAGGAGATGTTTTCTCGATGGACCATTTAACTAGATCGATGAGCATCAAATAGTTGTTAGGCCGAATCGCACTGGTCACAGACTCAAAGGAGGTTGTAAAAATGGCTAAGACTTAAGGCTTAGGTCTGCGATGCAAAGAACCAAACTTTTGAAAATGGGAATTCAAATAACTGAGCTACAGATAATTGAAGAAATTTCCTCGAGTGTCAAAAATGGCAGGTGCAAGACAAGAATCGGTCCCGATGCTGAAGTAACATATGAAGGCATGTACGAACTTCATAGGTAGATGCATAAATAATATAATCAAGTCGTCCCTTCAATGACCGTAAAAGAGGATTTGCTATTTTGGGAAAGCGTGGTTGAACTTGGACGACCAAGCATCATGTTTTGCACTTTCCTAGCACAGAATTTGCCAACCTGACCTGACTTCTACTACACCCCTCTTAATTTTGAGGACATCAGATTTCACACCCGATTGGAGAAGTAGTATGTGATAATGCGAAATCACTGAGCAAACATGTGACCTAGCATTGAATCACAACAGAATGTTCTCGAAAAGGGGTTCTATAAGAAGAAGATGTCACGGAAACGACAAGCTCTTCGTCCCAAGAATTTTACACGGAGTGAATTTGCATCGAAGGTTCACACTGGGTGATATCGTGTTATTACAATTCAATAACTATATTGAAAATGCTAACATAACCAACTGCACTACGCCGATGTCTTTCACCAGCAATGCATTGATATTTTGCGAGGCTATCCTTTTGTGATATTACCACGCAAGGAGCCAAGTCTGTTTTTGAAGTTCCTACAGCGTCTTCCTTACTGACGCTGAAGTAGCAAACGCGGATTTGACGATGAAGAAGACAAATGCTATTATATACCATGTTATCATCTCAATGGATAGTATCAAAGGCGCTTTGTGGCTGTGTAATAAATGCGTACGTCAAGCGTTTTCGCAATGACAGAATTCTCGGCACCGGGCCTCATGGCGTAATATTCACCACCAACCAATCAAACCAAACATAGGATAATTCATTGCGGATTTCTCGATCCGTGAACATTGCGGAAACATTTTATTTAAAGGGCCATTGGTCGCGGCTGTACTGGCGGTCAAACCCTCTTTTTGTTATATAAGACTTTTTTCTGTTGGAGTTGGGTCTGTTGCAGGTCTTGACCTTCTTTACAAGTTTTGGAGTTTTGTTTATAAGGCCTGAGAATACCCTGAGTTATACCATATCATTTTGAAAACCCTCGTTGCTTTTGTATGCGCCGCTCACCTGATATTCTCGAACTCGACTGCAAAAATGCCCAGCAATAGTTCGAAAAATTCACATAATTCGGATGTCCCGAAAAGTCAATCACGGAACAAAGAAAGACATCCAGCGGGAGAAGAAGCTAATGAGGAGACATTCATAAATGCTATTAATGATGGTGGAATTTCATATGGTACCGTGTCGCGAACCAATGCATACGCACCAATCAAAACTGGAGAGCAAGTACACGGAAAACACCCTTTACGACGACGAGAATCTGTTATAGAAGAAGAAAATAACGAAGATCTACAAATCGAGATCCCAGCTACCGAGCCGGAAAAGGAGGGGCCTGTAGCTTGGAGTAGTTTGCCGCATAAAAGACAATTGGCTATTCTTACTTGCGCGAGGTTATCCGAGCCCCTTGTACAGACTAGTTTGAGGGTAAGTTCTAAATTCAATCATGAGAGCACTGAAATATGATTTATTTTTTGAACCTTCAATCTTTGAAAGATTATAAGACACTAATATATACAAAAGAGCTATCTATTCTACCAATTAAAATCTTTCGATCCCTCACTACCAGATTCGACCATTGCATCACAGGCAGGTATTATGGCTGGGTCATTTGCCTTGGCCCAATTAACTACTGCTATGTTATGGGGACGATTTTCAGATCGATCGGGTAGAAAGAGAGTTCCATTGATAGGTCTGAGTGGTACCGCCATTTCTTGTTTGGGTTTTGGATTTGCATAGAACTTTTGGCAAGCATTGATATTCAGAATGATCGGTGGTGCACTCAATGGAAATGTAGGTGTGATGAGAACCATGATTAGCGAGATTGTCAAGGAAAAGAAGTAAGAATTTGTTCCTCCTCTCTTTGAACACACCGAGAATTAACAGTGTCTAGATATCAGAGTCGTGCTTTCTTAATATTACCAATGTGCGGTAATATCGGAACTATCATTGGTCCCATCTTAGGTGGTCTCTTAGCCGATCCAGCAGGAAGTTATCCAAGTGTGTTCGGAGGTATCAAATGGTTAGAAAAGTATCCATATGCACCTCCGAACTTGCTTAGTGCCTTGTTTCTTGCCTCCGCCTGCCTTGCGGTCATATTTGCTTTAGAAGAAGTAAGCATTCTCATTCTCTCTGCGTGAAGTAAAGCTCTACTAACCCATATAGACACATGAACTGTATGCCCACCAAGAGGATTGGGGCATCAATGCCGGCCGAGCTGTCAAGCATTTCTTCCGCCGTCTTCGAAGAGGAAACATCAGCAAGGGTGATTATACTGCTATTTCAAGCAATGCATCTTCGCCAACTATCGGGCTTACGCCAATTACTCCTAAATCTCCCAAGCGAGTAGCTCCTCGGTATACGAATCGACTACCGTTCCGTCAGATTTTCACACATAATGTGGTGTGCACTTTAGTCTCCCATGCCTTACTAGCATTCTCGATGGGAACTTTCCAGAGTATCTGGTACTCGTTCCTCAGCACCTCCGTCTACAATCCCTTGCAACCTTCAAAATCTCTTCCAGCAGACTACACCCCACATCCACCTTTCAAATTCACCGGCGGAATCGGTCTTCCGCCCCGCGACGTTGGTCTCGCCATGTCTATTCTAGGCATGATTGGTATAACCATGCAACTGTTCCTATACCCCATAGTAAACACCCGTCTAGGCACCGTCCGCAGCTGGCGCATTTTCCTCTACGGTTTCCGAATCGCCTACACCCTCGCACCCTTCCTATCCCTAATCCCATCCTCCTCTCCACCCCCGTCCCAAAAAACCGGCCCCATAATCTGGATCTCTCTAACCTTCGTCCTCCTAATCCAAACCATCTCTCGTACTTTCGCTGGCCCAGCAACCACAATCCTCATCAACAATTGTTCACCACATCCCTCTGTCCTCGGTACTATTCACGGAATAGGACAAACCGCCAGCAGTGCGGCGAGAACTGTAGGACCTGCTCTAGGCGGTTATCTTTACGGATTAGGATTAAGTCATGGATATGTAGGGCTCGTGTTTTGGGTTTTGGCGGGAATGGCAGGTGTGACTTGTTTGGCGAGTACGTTTGTGAGGGAGGGTGATGGACATGAGATTATTTTGGAGGGAGATAGGGAGGCAGAGGAGGAAGCGAGGGTTAGGAATAGGGAGTTGGGGTTTAATGTTTAATTTTTGTGGGTGGGAAGGGATTAGAAATGGATAGTATTTGATGTGATGATATGTAAAATGGTTGTAGAAAGTGGAATTGATCTATTGTGATTTTGGAGACACCCAGTCAAAATGAAACATTATTAATGCCATTTACATTCTTATGTGTTCAAAATGAATTTTGTCGCTTGGGGTGAGTTCTTTGAAGGTATCATTTCGATACTGCAAATGCTCTGACGGTTCGACAATGTGAACTTTCGAGTGTACAATGCTCCATTGCATTCACAAAAGAAAAATGACCGAATACTCCAAAATGCTGGCCTGTTTTATGTTGGCAACCAGGCCCTATTACATAAATCCTTGATGCGTATCCCTTTTCCTCCGCGGCTGATGGCCCAAACCAAACGCCGTCATTATGCTTCATTATCTTTCCTTGATACCCCGAAATTTCGACCGTGTGTGAGAACAGCCACGAATAAAACACGCCATATACTTTATTTACCAAATTCCATATTCCATATTCCATACATCACCCTAATTGATCTTCGCCCCTACAAGAACATCCACCACCGTTTATCGATTCTCGAATCGATCCAAATCCTCAAACAAACTGCGTCCCCTGCTGCACCGGCAAATTGTGCGACGATTGTCCCGGTATCCTTTGCTGAGAAGTCTGCTGCTGATGTTCTCCTCCCGCATGGTAAGGTGGAGGAACCCCGAGATTAGAGTTCATATTCATATGGTTAAGACCAATATCATACTGTGCCTGGGGATTCCTCCACGGCTCTGCTTCGTAGCCTTCTACTTCCCTAGTAATATCTTCGATTTTCTTCGCTTGGCGACGTTTGTAGCCCCAGAAGAGAACGGGGGCGCAGATGATGATCATGAGAAGTGTGCAGACTAGAAGGGCCCAGTCGAATTTGGGGTTGAGTGCGAGAGGGAAACCGCTGGGTTTGTGTTAGGTTTGATTTATGGGTGCATGGGGATACTTACATGAAAGCGTTTATGATTCCAGCGGGGATAATAACACGGCCTAGCCAAACGTGTATAGGGGCAAATTTGGTGGGAGCCGAGGTTTCCTTGTACATTCGATGGTGAAGAAAGCCGAGGATCCATTGTCCGATCATGGCTATGATAATGACAAGGCCAAAGATTTGATGTCCAGATTTGAAACCTTTCGTCTATATTGATGTTAGAGGTTGATCATTAGGGACTGAGATAATCTATCATACCCGATTATAAAGTGTACCCAGCTTCGCGCCTAATCCAAGCCCTATAAGTGCAATTGCGAGAGATATAGTTTGGTTGAGAGCATGCCACCTGGGACTATTCAGAAATCGCAAAATGACTATACCCAATGGTAAAAGTCCAACAAATACTAGAACCATCAGAACAGCATGGGCAGCTGATGAGATGGTGCCGTCCCCTTTCTCAGAAATTTCAATAGTGCCTTTGGAATTCGAAGTTGGAATGGCAGGAACACCTGATATACCCACCGCTTTCAACAAATCCATAGAAAAAACTCCATAAGAATCATGTCTCTTGACATCGGCTTGTAATGAATCAGACTTCAGAGTTCCGGGCGGTCCATTTGCCCATATGAAAGATGCGTTTGGGTTAGTTGTCAAACCCAAAGATCCTCCTTTCCATGAGGTACAGTTCAGACATCTTCCATTCCACGTGAAAGTGTCGTTGGAAATCCCCGTGCCGGCAAGAGATTCAACCACGATATCTGTGGTATGCGATGGTTCATTCTCCCCGGACGCTATCCGAGGACTGAGAGTTACATTCTTCCCGGTGGAATCGGCATACATCATAAACATTAGGGAATTTTTCATCTTGTTTGATCCCATGCCAACCGCCTAGTTCATGCGATTAGATGAAACAATTTGATCGTTTGAAGAGTCGAACTTACTATCCAGGAGCAACTGCTCGGACCTGATAAGCTGAAATATAGATCATTATTTGTATTTTTCTCTGGTATATTGAGAGCAAATGCGACGCTCGTATCCTCTGCGAGAAATCCCGCAGCAGTTGTTAATATGGCATTGACTATCGAGAGAACTAGCGATACTTTTCAGAAGCTGTCAGCGTCATTCCATCCCATGGTGTCCTTCGGTGGTAAGGCGCTCGGGCCTAAAAACCCTGAAGCGAAGCCCCAACTTTCTTTGGTACATACCCGCTGACGTTCCTAAAATCATTCGAACCATGACTTATCTATTTTTCTGATATTATTTCGTATGTTTGATTTCTCAAAAAGAGATGAAACTACAATAACCATGAAGAATGAAGGATCAGGTTATTCTTTTCTATCTCTTCCGCATCCTCTCAATGTTACTTCAATATATGGGACATTGGAACATATCTATGGCCAACACGTTTTTTTGGCGCCGAAGTGTCGAATTTGTCTTCTAGCCGCCGTGATCACTAACCTATAAGATCGCACATCAGCCTACCATTCCGAGACAGGAAACACTGCGACATTTTACCATCTTGGCAGATTGGAATGAACGTGTGTGTGATTGGATGGTCAAGTTTTCCGGGGATGCTATTGAACCTCATTGCTTATCGAATGCCGACATCCGCGTGCAAATATAGTAATGATTCAATGCAATGCGACGACGATATTTGTGTCGGAGTATTAATAGATTTATTTGGGTTACATGGAACATGATGGAAATATGAAATTATCGAATCGCAGGTAAATCTGAGCTAAATCTGTATTTCCTAAACTTCGACTTTCTGTCGTTGGTCCGGTAGTCAAATTGCTTGTTGCGCTTTGTTTACCGTTTCATTTTCTAATCCATCATCTCGTGCGACTTTTCTATCTTTGGTTATATCTTCATTGCTTCGTTCCAGGATGTTTCCAAAATTTCCACGTTTCTTGCGTCGAGCATTACAGCTAGTGCTAGAAAGCTTTCAAGGGAAGTCAACCAAGAAGCATTCTTACCAAATGAGATTACCCTTTCGTCACCAATGAAATAGACACTGGTCAGTCTTCCTTTTCAGTTCGCGAAAGTACGTTCGAAGTTGAGGATTCTCGTAAATTATCAGTCTTCTAGCATGTCATACTGGCAAAGTTTGGGGCTTATCAGATGGATTCTTCTGAAGTCCACAGCGATCACCAAAACTTCCAGATCAACTCACATTGCGAAGCTCGAATGGTTCTGTTTATGTCTTAGTAAGGGAAAATTTTCAGTCTCACTGGGTATCATCATTGCTAACTAGGGGGACACTACTGTCGGTCATCCTTACGATGGCCTGGGGAAAGCGGTGTTAGATTGAAATGTAAGCGGGGTTCCTTCTCTTAGCTCTCATATACTTTAGAGATCTTTCTGGCTCAAGTTTTTTCATATTAAATCATTCTAGTGATTTAAGCCGTATAGGTTTTCTGAGATCATGTGGATGCTGAATACCTGAATAATGGCCAGTGTCAGATGAGCATCTGAGGTCGGATGAGCTCTCGACACCCAATGTCTAGTCGCTTGAAGGATTCATGTCATGATATATTCAACTCACACAAAGAGATTCTCAAGATGGACCAATACGGTACCATTTCCACTTTGCTTTCCAAGCATATGAAGGTATTCTAAGTGGAACAATCATCAATAGCCCTGCTACGTCCAACTATGATGTTGAACGACCATACTCACGGAACCTAGGGTGTAATTTCAACATCAGCCGAACTCAAGAGGTCAACAATCAGAGATAATTATCTGATCAACACGACCGCCGTTTGTCCTGCGTCAACATGACCGTACAAGCTGGTAAGATCTTATCGCATATCAAATTCTTCTTGTGAATGGCGACATTGGCAGTGATGTTAAACTCATGGTCAATAACCATAATCTCACTGTCATCGCTCTGGATATAGTCGGAATGTGCCTTAAACCATCCAAGTCCTCTCTAGGAGCATGGGACAACGATACGATGTAACCATCGACGCAAGAGAATGCTATTTCTACTCCTGAGAACAAGCACGGGAGCCTTTTCAAGTAGTATTGCACCTTTGTTGAGGAATCCACCAAAGGGAGAACAAAGGTAGCCATGTTGCTGGCCAGTGGGTATTCAGTCACTGCTTCTTATACTAATAATGCAGGAGTTCAGTCGGTTGATGCATTGCCATATTTAGTAGTAAATGGGGTGAGGGGACTTGCGCTATAAATGGTTGGGAGGATGGATGAGATTGAGGAGTTGAAAGCTCCATAGAATCAATCTATGGTTGTAAAGAGAGTCACGATGAGAAGCTTTGAATAATGTAAATTAGCAGCACAATGGCTACTACTGTGGCCACGCCGATCATATTTAACTATACGAATGCGTTCACCGTAAAGGTTGCCATTTGAAGCTATTCCCGAGATCTGAACTTCAACCAATCATATGCATGAAGTTTTTCTCCAGTTCTAAGCGGCGACGAGGCAAGCAAGCTAAACATACCTACCTACATTGAATAATCCCTCCCTTGCTTATGAACTGCATGTAATACCACCAATTAGATGATACGGGGAATACGCCCGGAACCTTTGCGTAGCAAAGTAAGGCGTACAAGCGTTTATCAAAACCTTTTATGGTGTTAACAATTACTGTAAGTAGCAATCTTGGGCTCGGATATTAATTGGATTTATGGTACATCGAGACGCCATATATGCAGAAGACTGCAAGCTTAAGGATCTGATATGACTCCGCAGGAAACGGAATTGGTTGACGAACTTTTAGATCTTCTAATTCACCAATTCACTTCCTCTTGCTCTCTCTCTCTCTCTCTCTCTCTCTCTACCCCACACACCGATTGCTATTGATTTGTAGTGTCATGTGTAGAACCAGAATTCCCAACTTCCTACCTTCCGATCTACCTAAGGTTACCTAGTAATAAACTTGCGTACCATCTTCAAAATTTCCTGTTGCCTTTCCTTCCCTTTTCTCTGTCAATCAACGGGTTTCCTAATTGTTTCTAATCTGTTTCTCTGGTATTTTCGTTGGCTTTTCAAATCAATTCATCTACAGTCAGTATCTTATCTCACTGATTGCTAAGGTGGTACAAATACTAATCATTGGGGCACAGATGACCCTTGACATGCACTGAAATTTATTGATTGCGACGCGTCGACAGCCTTACCTTTTACTTCAGCGCGCCTTGAATTTCTTGGACATTTTATTCGAATCTCGAGCCCCATCTCTGCTGTGCTCTGCTCTGCTCAAATATTGAATTCTCCGAATCCATCGCGTTAATTGCCATTTGCAATTTGCAATTTAATAAGGCTGGCACGTCGAAAAGTATTTCTTATCGCGATCTCAACTCACGAACCCCCGCCCTCTAATTTCGATGCGACATTTCCTACTTCCTCCTTTCTGGCAACTATCTTTCCATGGCTGCCTCTCATACTGCGACCGTTCCGGATACACCAGACCAATATAGAAGCAACAGTGTTAATAATGCAATTGGGAGAACACAATTGGGTGGAGCTTGTAATTATACGGACTTGAATTTTGGAACAAAATGTGGATGTTATGAATTCTGGGCTCAATCTCAGAATTCGACAGCCAGCGCAATATTAGAGAATGGAGGGTTACCTAGAGCGGAAGTCTGCGCATGCGGACATCATCTTTGTTTTCATGGTCATAAATCTTCACAGCCAACAGAGGACCAGCGATCACGAGCTTTAAGTAATGTCTCGGGACTCAATTTGGAGTCTAATACCCCTATGACTCAAGTGAACCGTCAGCCATCTACTCCCAAGAATCTCAACGGACCTGAAAATGACAAACTGGACCCCGCCCGCCGAAGTATCCAGGAAACCCTTGAATGGAGCCGGCTTGTACAATCCGAAACCGGGCCAGAAGAACTCCCGCCAATTCCATCGCAGTGCTTCTTGCCCTCAGAGACTGCTTCAATGAGCTCGAGCCAGGCTAGGCGGCCTTTCTTTGGCTTGGGGCTCAATACCTTGAGTCATATTCCTCGACTCAACACCCAATTGCAAGCTGTACAAACAGGTAAGGGACGACCTATACAGGCTTATAAAACCTCTGATGGTCGAACATTTCTTGAAAGTCCTACCGAGGTATTAACAACGACACCAAGTTTACAAGCAACCAAGGATTTCGCATTCAAAGGTGTCCCAGATGAGCAAGCTATGGACAAAACGCTAGCCAATATCAATATCAACCCTCAAGCTGCTACTTTGCCTCTGCGCTCCAATAGATCGCCCTCTATTCAGGCTTCTCAACCTGGACTCAGTGATCAAGAGGATATTCTCATGGATCTCATAGCTAATTTCGATAAGCCCGATAAGCACCTTGTTCCCAGACTTCGTGATATCGTAACAGATTTTCCAAACACCAAGCGCAACCATGAGGAGAGAATCGATGCTCTTGAGAATACATCATTCTCAAACACTGGGTTCGAGGAGCTCCAGGGAGAGATTGATGATCATGGTGAACGAATCAACGAGCTTGAGAATAGAGTAGAAGAGCTGGAAAAGATTAATGCTGCCGCTGACGAGAGCAGTATAGGTACCAATAGAAACCTGAATGAGTCATTTGATTCTCAGGCAACCAAGACATCCTCTGCTCTCTCAGCGAATGCTAGGAGCCGCTCTGGTCTTATCGTTCGTGTGGAAAAGCTTGAAGATAGACTTACTCAAATAGAAGCTACTCTTCCACCATCATGGGATCGACCATGGGAGATTGAGGTCGTATTCTTACCATATGGACCCCAGATGATGGGGATTTGGTCTACAAATCACGTAATATCTAAACGCTCCAGGGCTAATAGTTGCGCATCTGAAGATTGGACTCAAACTCAACAAAACGTCTTGGCTGCTGCGCAAGCATCTCTTTGCGATCAAGGTTATTCTATGTCCTGGGAGAAGATGATGTTGAAGAAAGGCAATGCAGAAGATGATCTTTTGATGCCGAGAGCGTGTGGTGCTACCACTACGATCAATGAACGCTTGAAGAGCAGAGGTTTAGTGAAGGTGGTGCAAATCAAAGGCCCCGATGCTCGAGATGTGCAAGTAGCTCTGATGTCAGCCTTCGGAGATCTTCCCAAAAAGTTATCCGAAGATGTTTTCTCATCGTCCAAACATACTCCACCTCGGATTCCTAAATCCCTGGACAACTATCTTGGACTATGCGCTGCTTGGATACCACTGAGGAAGTTACATAAAACGTCGGTTCTACGGTTTCTAGATCCATCAGAAATGGTCACTCC